AAGTTTTAAGAAATTAACGTCCAATTAAATAATTTTATAAAATTAAACTTGAAACATCCCAGTTTTGAGTTTATTCATTATAAACAATCAAATCTTTTCTTTTTATACTACTAATATAAAAAATTAATTTAATTAGAAAGAACTGACTAGAAAATTGAATTTTAAGTGTAGCTTATACTCGTATAATATAAAAAGAATACTGAAATTAATGAGAAAAAAAAAATTAACAAAAGAGCTTAGATAGTGTCTCTAACAATTGACAAATCTATCGCATTACAGTCCTATAGAACACAAAAAAAATATGTTCATAATAAGGGTCACAACCACAGTTTTATAAAGCCAACTGGTCACAATATAAGAGTGGTATCAAATAATCTTATATTCGTCCGAGTAAGTGCTTAAGTTCAAGATGTAGTGGGACAAATCTCATTTTGTACGAGATGTACACGTAGTCGCGACGAAAAGCAATCAAAGTAATCATATTGCGGCGATATGTGGAAATACGAGAGTGCACATTTATTTTCTTATAAGTACAATCAAGATCGGATGCGCATGTCTTTAACTTAAAGTAACATATAGAAGCTGCGTTCAAGACTATCTATTTTATATACATACGAGAGCACATATTGTGTAGCTCATATTCTAGTAAAATAACAAAGAAAACAAACAATGTTAACGATGTTGAACCTGGTACAGTATAAAAACATATCGTTGAAGGATACTTGTACAATATAATATTCTCATTGATTGAATCAAATTTTTTCATATAAATAGTAAATTTTTTTTATTATTAAATTAAAAATTGTTTAACAAAATCTAAAAAGTTTTATTAGATATAAAACTTGAAAAGGTTAAACCATAATTATATATGAGTAATTAAAATTCAAAAATAATATGTAATTATATATGTATTTTATTACAGGGTACAGAGACATCAACTACATCAACTAAGTATACTGTGTCAGACATCATGGCTGACACAGTATACTTAGTTATAGCGATGATACTGTTCATGTCTATAGCCATCGGTTACCACTTTCTATCAGGTGGGTGGTCAGCATGTTTGCCATTCTAAATTGACTAAAAAAAACAGTATTTTACAAATTTTTTTAGTACAATAACTGTAGTCAAACCTGAGAGAGCTCAATCATAAGATGACCATAAAGTCCTGGCAATTTATATATCACATCGCAGATTAATTCCACTTCTATTTCTGAACACACAAGGCTCACAAAGGCCCATTATAGTGCTTTAATGAGATCACTGAAGAGTATCTCTCATAAAAGAGTTCGTATCCAATTGCGAGTACAATACCTTAATCTTTCCACTATTGTATGAGGCCCACCGTATAGGGAAAAAGGGTAGTAGTCGGACGGAAAATAGCACGTACCTACATTACATATAGTCGTATAGTTGTATTAAATAAAACTGTTTGAAAAACTATACCGGAAAAATTTAACGATACAGCACAATTGACAAATGTGCCAATTTAACAAATTTGCAACCATACTGTAAAATTTTTCTATGCTCAGTAATTAGCTAATTATAAGCTAGCAATATTACAGGTAAAGAAAGTATCCAATACAAATATAATTAAAGATGATGACATGTAATGCAAAATAAAGGGTTTTAAAATTTATATGACTGTTATTCTATTTGTAAAAAAGCTTGTTTCTTGTTTTATTGCACTTTTGTAGCCTGGCTTATCTTTACAAACTAATTTTAAAGTCTCTTAAGGTTACGGTTGCTTAAACTTAAAATTATAGTAGATCAAAACTTTTCTTCTGCTTTTTTTATATCCTTGGCGGATGACAGCTATTCTAAAACCGCGATCATATTTCTTAACATTAAACAGACTTTCGTAAAGTTTAGTAATATTTTTGATATAACATTATGAATTGTTTTTACGAACAAAAATTCAATGATCTTGGAATATAAAAGTTATTACAAATTTTATAATAACAGATATTTCCTGTTATTGTAAAATTTTTAATTACTTGTATATTACTGTAAATTTCGATACCACTTTAAGGCGCTATAAAGAGAATTGGAATAAATCGAAAAGAAATGGGAGAATGAATTAAATGAAGAGCAATCGCAATCGTAAATTGCAGCTGTACTTTCTCTTCAAGTAATCAATTTGGATAAAAAATTCTTTGGCACGTTTCGATATTTCCTCAAAAGATTCCGTTAAGCGGTTCTCGGAAATAGCGATTTTGATAAATTTCAAAGCTATCATAATTGGCCTCGACCAGAATGTGCAAGTACTTACGTACATACCTCAGTCACGGTCCCAATTTGCGGATCAAGAAACTGCCTTGAAAATAATGCAACAAAGCGCTTCAAGCACTGCAACTGGTTTCATTCAGCGGCTGCAATATTTCTCAGTATTTAATCGTTACGCAGACTGCTGGCGGCGTCTGTTGCTGCACTCCTGGGCCTACCGTTGCGTTCCATACAACAGCACTCCGCTTTCACGTCTACCTGGGGCATTATGCCTCTAATGTCACTTAATTTGCCGTCTAGGGCCTCCTCACGTGAATGCAGCCTACAAGAGCAGGTTTAATATGAAAATTCGCTCGTTTTTTTTCTCTGATGCGAGATTTAACGTTAAACTGTTGCCTCTTTTGAGAGTAAACGCGTAGAAGTAATGGGATTATGAGATCGGTAGTTATGGCTTTCGTCGGGCAAAGTCGAAAAGGAAATTAAATTACGCAAAGTTACACAGATATTTTTGTTTTGGGATATTGCTAAGCGTTTATTCAGGTTAAGGGTTTGCAGTGTAGACGATTATTTCTCGCCTTTATTCATCGAGTTGCAACTTTGTAATACCATAATGTTTCGACTCTCTACTCTCAAAAAATAAATATAACATTGTTTGGTATATAAATTGAGAATTGGTAATCGGTTTTTACATGATATAAATACTCGTATAAATTATTTTAATTATCCTAGATATAAGCTGTTAATTCCAAATGTAATAATAAAATAAAAATAGACCAAGACGTAAGAACTTTATGTAGTTTTGGGAGAGAATAAATGTCTTAAACCATACTAATTTACATGTTGCAATAATTTACATCTCTATTAAAATTCTGATTGAAGTGCTTTAAATATGAGTGACGATAGTTTTCAATGACTGGCCTAGGCACAATCACCTTAATTTTTTTATGTGAAGCATCTTTGCCGCATGCATTATTGAGTTTTAAATCTAAGAGATCAGGAATGGCAACGCATGAGGATTAACATAGGTGGCATATCAAATTCTGTGTTGATATTCATAAATGACATTTCTATAAATATTACAATCTATTAGTTCATCTTACTACATAACCGTTATGTAAAACACTTTAATAAATCATACATACAGGTTTACTAGATCTCCACATGTGATCATCGAATACCAGACGCTTTTTATATCGCTTTTAATACCAGACGTCGCCAAGAGCTATAGTTTTGGATACAGTAGTAAGTAATTGTTAAATAATATTGTTATGAAAATTTCTAGATATTGTATGATCTAGTGATGAGACGTAAAATTATCCTCAAAATCAATACTAGATAATACCACTAACTTAGATAATATACCTAGATAGAGCATGGAGCCTCAAAAATGATTCAACTTTTTGTTAGCTAATTGTCAAATTAGCTGACTCGTTTTTTTATTAGTATTTTATATATTTACACATAAAATTGATCTTGATGGATTATAAAATAAATGAGTGTTTATGGATTAAAAAGATGCAGAATTTAGAAGACAAATACAGAAGTTATAAAGGAATCACTCATAACTATTTATCATGCAAAATTGTATGAAAAAGTTGACCCGTTTTTCTCGAAGTATTTCTATGGAGACACTCTAACTGTAATCTAAGGCCACTAACTAAATAATAGTACAAGCGATTATACTAAACATCCAAGTTGTAAATCAGCAAATCAAGATCAATTTGGTAGTATATAAGTACCAGAATCAATAACTTGTTAGAAAAATTACGGTACAGCTACAAAAGCATTACTTGGCCGCCAATTCAGCAGTATCGTCGACCGACTACGACACAATAGCGAAGTAATGATATTGCCGTTAACGATATAATCCTGCGGACAGCTTACGCGGCAGAATGTACGAACATATCGGAGTTGCGAGTTGATTGGGTTGTGATATAATAAAGAAAACGTTCTAATATAAACCATAAATGAAGTATTGAATATACTTGACGTATCTTAATGGATGATAATGGAATGTACCAGGAATCTACCATAGGGAGACTTTGTACAAAAGTCGATTGCTTGGGTACCTTTGTCCCATTCGTGTTTCAACTGTGAAGCAGTTGTATTTGCATGGCTGTATTTCGGTTTGAAGGGTGGGATATGGCGTGAATTTACTGGGTACAGAGGAATAACACCCGAGTCCTCAGGGATTGCAACGCATAGGGAGTATCATGGGCGAAACAGTATACTCTGTTAAGTCCATGTTACTGCTCATGTCTATAGTCAGCTTGTTTGCCATTCTAAGTCGTAAAAAAAAAATGTACATGCATATTGAAAATTTTAATTACGTAAGTATAGATAATTCTTTTATTAATTTCTACCTTATTCCCAAAGGGTATTTTTAATGGGTGAAAATGATATGGTAATCCCGTCTGCGCTATCAGTGGCGGGGCATCAGTGAAGGATGATAGATGAGGATAAAAAGATAGGTTAGTTAACTTGTCGTGATGAATACACTTGTAATTCAACACGATGGTTTCCAGAGGGAGCCACAGGGAGGTTGACTTAATAGAGCATATTGCTAGCAATGGGACTAGTAGTTCGCGTACTAACAATTCCTTTCTTCATTGATTTTTATTTATATACATGAAATGTAAAGGCAAAGACATTGTGTAACATACGCGTAAAAAAATACCAACCAATCGAGAAGCTCTACCTTTTTGAAGTCGTTTAAAAACGTAAAACGAATGTTATAAATATGTTATTTCCATATGAATTTCATGTTAACTTACCTTTAAATCTTAGCTGAACGGTGCCGTGTATGAGGAGAATAACATCCTGGAACAAATTAAATCAACGAATTAGCATAACAAAGGGAGATCCGTAACATTACTCAACATAATAACATGCAGGTACTTTTATATAGTTTTCATAATATTACAGACACCGTACTTAAAATGCAATTTTTCTTTCGAGAAAAATTAAATCTCGCTTGGTCTCATTTTTCTATACCTATACTTTAAAGATTGGAAATTATAAATCTTATCCGTAAATCACTTTTGTCAGTTACAGTTCAGAAAAGAAAAAAAAGGCGTAAATCTAAAAATAAATTTTGATTGATTTAATTATTATTTATTTTTCCACCATTAGTATTTTGGAATATAATTAAGAGAAAGTTTCGTTAGATCGGTGATTCCCACCAAGCTTTTCTGTATCACCCTTTTTAGAAGAAAATAAATCTTAATAGATTAATAACTATAATTATTTAAAAAATAAAAGCATGCGTACTAGAGTTTTGCGAATAAAAAATTTTAATCCCTGGGAGAAGGTCTAGGAATGTACCTCGTCTGGTGGCTGTCCAAACGGAACACCCTGGAAATCATCGTAATAAATTTCTAGGGAATACGTAACGACAATTGAACTGCTTTCATCCTCACCTATCATTCACTGATTCCCTGCGCAGATAAGGTTATTATTTTTTTTTCATCCCATAAAAACCTTAGTACCTCATAACGTCCCACAAATGAGATAGGTTTCTACTCATGATACACTATGCTGCATCGGATAGTTCTATTTTGAGTTTTTTTTCTATATAGGTATTATGCCTTCTTAGATTATAAAGATAGAGCATCGAGTGTAAAAAACGGGTCAACTTTTTGACACCTAATTTTCGAATAAACTCTTTTTTTATCAGTGTTCTATATACTTACGCATACAATGTATCTTGACGTATCTATATTTAATTATTTAATAAATAAAATAACTTTTTACGCTTTAAAAAGATGCAAAAATTATAAAACAATAAATATAAAAGTTATAAAGGAATCACTCATAACTATTTAACACGCAAAGTTGCATGAAAAAATTGGCCTGTTTTTCTCGAAGCATTTGCATGGAAACACAGTATCTATAAACAAAGGTTGCCTTATTGCCGCAGTCATTTCTTACAATATTATAGGAATGAAAAAAGTACTGACATATTGTACGATACTCATATTTTTACTCCGTCACCATACGGACGTATATTATGAGAACAAAGTTTAATTATCACAAAGACAACAGTTTTAAACAAACAGAGATACAGGGGGATTAGTTTATTACAATTGCAACAATCAGGTAATGCGATGATAAGCCAAGTTTATTTACAGTGCTATCGAGACGAGCCCTAGCGCGCGTTTGCTCTCACTCTATAGACGCTAGTCACTGCAATTGAAACAACATAGCTTTGCATTACTTAAAACTTGAATAGTTTATTATTTAGTTAACGTTCTATATTTCTATATAGGTTTCAGTCGACTTCAAAAATAAAAAAGGTTTTTAATTCGGTTGTATTTTTTTTCAGTTCTGAACCGATTTGAAAAAATATATTTTTATCTAAAACGATATACTTACTGATTGGTCCCATAGAAATTTTATTAAAATCGGTATAGTAATTTAAGTTTTAGACCAAAATAACTGATTTTGTCACAATTGAGGACGTGTTTTTTTTTTTTGCGGAACACAATCTTTACTTATTCTTAAAGGATTTTTTTTTATACAACTTAGAATGGCAAACAAGCTGACGGCCCACCTGATGGAAAGTGGTAACCGTCGCCTATAGACATGAGCAGTACCATAGACATAACAGAGTATACTGTTTCACCCATGATACCCTCCATGCGTTGCCAATCCTGAGGGCTGTTACTCCTGTGTACCCTGTAAATTCACTGCCATATCCCACCCTTCACACCGAAACACAGCCATGCAAACACAACTGCTTCACGGTTGAAACACGAATGGGACAGAGGTGCCCAAGTAAACGACTTCTGTACAAAGCCTCTCTCTGGTAACACTATTTCTATGGGGAATACACAGGTAATTTCAATTAGTAATTTTGCTTGATTACTTAGAAATATTTCACTGTGTGTGTCCACTACTTCCTTTCCGTGGGTGTCGTATGAATCGACTAAGGGAGGGCGAGGGATGGGCAGCAGCGTCCCTATTAAAACGTCTCTAAAAGCCTAACTTCGGCTACCCGCCTGCCAAGCGTGGCAACTACTGGCAAAACTCCCCTTATGGGGAAGGCTTATGTCCAGCAGTGGACAGTTGACGGCTAAAATAATAATAATAATAAAAACTCAGAAATATTAAAAATTGTATAATTTTTGACACATGACTAACAATGCTGAAAGAGTTAAATAATAAAAAAATCATAAAAGAATTATCAGAGATTGTAAATTTTTTGTGCGGGCCACTTAAATATAATAAAACTAACTGTCCGCCCCAGCTTTGCACGGGTGTAATCATCTTACTCTCTTCTTTATATAAAGATTTTAGAACCCACATTTCTTACTTTTTTTGTACGTTCTTTCGTAAAACCTTGTATTGACAATTATAAGCACAATAAAAAAAGAACCAAATAGCTGCAAACATTCTAAAGTTTTTTGGCCATACATTCTTATCTATATGGACAATGTGGAAAAAAAGAAACAATCAGACTTGACCAAAATAGTAAAAAATATGCAAATTCCTTCAATTACAATAATTCGATTCGGAATTGGCGAATATACTCGTATCTTGTAACATGCAAATAAAAAATAATGCTATCTTTTTGAAATTACTTAATATATGATTTAGCAATGAGTGAGCTATAATCGACGGTTGAATGTTCAAAGTATTAAATTACATTCAATATTTGCAACGTGTCTGTCCTTTATCGTGTATCAACCGTTCGGCGTCGCACAACGCGTCGGCGCCGGCGGGCCGCGGCGACCGCGTGGGCTGCGCACACGCATCCAAAGCAAAAAGCCGCTCGGCGCGGCATTCCTTATCCGAACCGGTCTACGCTCAATGGAAACCGATATAAATCCCAGGACAACTGCCCACAATCAAAATAAAACCTTAACACCACAGTGCAGTAGCGTATTTAAGACCATAATAATCCAAGATGCAACAGATGCAAGCAAATTATAATTATATTACAGGAGAGATATAGGACAAAAAATTGAATAATGGAGAACGGCACAGAACGTCAAACGGGAGTTAAATTTTGTGACAAGTTGATTGATGGATTATATCTGCGTATCGAAAATGACAGGCAATAAGAACATATTGAACCCAATACATAGATTTTAAACTGATCTACACTTAAAGGAATCAAAAGATAAATGGCTCGGAGCAACTGTGTGGGTGGGTTTTAATTGAAATGTTATTATATTGTTTTGTTATATTAATATTGTTTGCTTTGTACTTAAATTTATTGGATGTAAAATTTTAGTTATAAACCAATGGCTTGTATGACTGCTTCTCGGCTTGAAGAGAGAGCGTAACAAGTGCTTATAATGTGAGGTTCACACTGATTTTGGTAAATCAATGTAATGAATGTACCATTCAATAAATATTAATTGTAGTTTTGAATATAGATATGTACAGTTCTGTGTAAATATAAATGATGCCCAAAACATCGTACAACTGTGGATATGAAACTGCACTGCACATAAAATTTTTAGTTGAAATGAATATACATTAAAAATTAAAATACTGAAATAAAGGTCTCCTTACATTTAACATAAACACACAAAGCAGATCGTATAATGAAAATTAAACAGGAGAAATACACTGAACTTCAATTAGAAGGGTCAGAAAGGCAAACATTCTGATCTGTGACGTCACAAAGGGACAGACCGAGGTAGGCGGGTGCGGCTGCGCCGGTGTTCACCGGTTCCTGGAACCGCCACAGTGAACCCTCAGCACAATAACTCTCCGCATCCAGCTATAAAGTCTGTTATATGATCTCGGAATTCTCTTGAAATTGCTTTTGTGTTCAATTTTCTGTATAGTGATAAACGGAAATTAATGCACATTTTATATTTTATAATTTTATATCCTATATATGTTGCAAGATATAAAAGATATTTTTTTTTATATTTTGATATTCGTAAATACCGTTTAATGTGTTATTGGACATTGACAACGATCATCATTAACTTTGGAAAAGGAGAATTCGTGATACCAATGCAAACAAAAAAAAACTTGAAATAAAACCTTATGGCAAGTGTTACCAAACCATGTGGCCCAAGAGATAACAGTGGAAAGTATTAATAAGGTCCCTGGTTAAGGAAAAATTGAGAAAGTGCCAACTTAAACAAAAACTGTGATAAAAAAATTAAATTAACTTCCAAAATTGCCCTCATCCTTTTGTTTACTACCACACATTATTTATCTACATATACAAAATGTTATGCTTTCTTCGATTACATAATAGTTTATTATTACTGTCATTCATGTATGTATATATGTTTAGTTTTGTACAAGTAGTTGCACACAACCATGTTGCATATTTTGTTTTATAAAAAACGTCGTTGGTGACACAAAAATTTTTGATATTTAGATACATATGTATATATATTGTTATTGTGTTTACTGTTTGTTGACCTAAATAAAATAAATATTAAATTAGTAGGCCAATTTTACAAATAACCAAGTACGACACTAATACGAGTATTTTGTTTAATTCCGCTATCAGTATAATCGTGGGACTACAGATTTCTTTTGCGGAACTTTGACCACCTGTTAGAGGCTTTACAATTTTCCTTATTTATTACAGACTAGCAGCCCGTCCTGGCTTCGCACGGATGGACATTCTTACAACATTTTAAAAAGTTATTATGACAACGATAATAGTTGGACATATAGTATCGCGAAGTTTTTTGTAGTTATTGATATTTTCTTCAATATTGTAGAACATACTTTTGTTCCATCACCAATAGTTTCCGCAGCGCACGCGACGAAAGATACTTTATAGCATTTTTTTTTACACCTTGAGTTACGTTACTAAAGTTTTAGTAAGGATCTCTAAT